GACAATGCCTTGCCATACTAGCAGACAGCAGCTGTGTGTCGCTGAAGGATACCCAGGACCAAACCAGAGATGGTCGGACCTGCATCACCACCATTTGTCCACCATCCAGAACTGAAATATCATTGCTGACACGTACACATAAGGAACTGTTTGACATTGAAATAAGAACTGTTAACCCAGAAAAAAATTTACTACAGACTGATTCATTTGTCTTTTAGCATAACCATTATGGCTGGTTTCATTTTTGGTTCTTACAAGTGTATTTCTTGTATCACATGATCTCACACATCTAGGGGAAATAATGAACAACATAAACTGATGATCAAGAGACAGGGAAGCATTGATCAGACTCTCAAACCTCAGAGGGAAGATAGGGGAGGGTGGGGGAAAGGGAGAGAGATCAACCAAAGGACTTGTATGTATGCATATAAGCCTAACCAATGGTCATGGACAACAGGGGGTGGGGGCATACGTGGGGAAAAGTTTTGGGAGGGTGAATGGGGAAATGAGGTTTGAGGGGGGTAAATGGGGGGATGAAGTTTTTTTAATTAATACCATAATTAAAAAACAAACTTGTGATCAACTTCTAGTAACAAAAGGCATTAATTTTCTGCTCTAATTCTGTCTCTAAGATCTGGTAAGCTGTTAATGGTAACAGATGGCTAATAAATTCTTGGCACAAAGAGAATTGAAAGAGTAAAGCAACCTAAACCGAAAAAGAAAAAAAAGAAAAAGAAAAAGAAAAAAAGAAAAAAAGAAAAGAAATCATCTGGTCCTGGTTTTCCTTTAATATATTAATATATATAAAAGGCTATTATGCAAATTACCCCCTCAGTAGTTCCACTGGGAGACCTGGAGTTTGATTGCTTGCTATGACATGTGCTGACCACCAGGGTGTGATATGGAACAAAAGAAGGCCCCAGCAGACAGCAGGCAGCAAGCAACCAGGGAAGGAATGGCCCTGTTGGCAGCTGAAAGGCCCTAATTGGCCCTGATTGCTGGCCAGGCCTAGGGAGCCTACCCATGCAAGAATATCATGCACCAGGCCTCTAGTTATACACTGAATGGCCAGATTATTTTGATTTCTGAATGCATAATAATCTGGCCACTCAATGTATATTCTATATAATAAAAGGCTAATATGCAAATTGTTCCCTTGACCAGGAGTTTGACCAGCAGGCAGGCTGGCCAACTGCCCATGTCCCTTCCCCCTGGCCAGGCTAGCTGGACCCCACCCATGGACAAATTCATACACTCATATACTGAGAGGCCAGATATTATGCATTCAGAGATCATAATAACCTAGCCACTCAGTATATAATAAACTCCTTTTTCTTTCTTACTGTTTTTGGCTTTTTTCTTTTGGTTTCTACTTGCATGGAATATCTTTTTTCATCCCTTCACCCATTTAGAGTGCATCCTTAACTCTAAATGGGTCTCTTGTGGGAGCATATAATTGATTCTTGTTTTTTATCCATCTAGCCACTCCTCGCCTTTTGATTGGTGAATTCAATCCATTTACATTTAGAATAATTATTTATATCTATGAACTTATTAATGCCATCTTGTTAATTGCTTTCTGATTCTTTTGTGTTTCCAATGTCTACCCCCCATTCCTCCTCCCCTCTCTTTCTACCTATCTTTGTAGATTGGTTATTTTATACTCCACACTCCCTGCCCTCCCTTTTTTTTTTTTTTTCATCTATGGATATTCTATTGGTTTTTGTTTTGTGATTACCTTAGGAATTACATAAAACATCTTATACTTCTATAGCTCTGGGTCTATTTTTTGATCATCAGTTTATTTGGTTCATTAGATTCCACATATGAGTGAAATCATGTGGTACTTATCTTTTTCTGACTGGCTTATTTTGCTCAACATAATACTCTCCAGGAACAGACTATTGAACCTCAGAAGGAAGGGGAGGGTGTGTGGGAAGAGATCAACCAAGGAACCTGAATGCATATATGCATAAGTTGTGGACACAGACAATGGGATGGGCGGGGGGAGAATGGGAGCAGGCTGGCAGAGGTTAATGGGGGCAAAGAAGGACCTATGTAATATTTTCAACAATAAATATTTTTTTTAGAAGAAAGAAAATTATTCCTTTTAGGCTCATAGCAATTTGGGCCCAGTAGAGTTGGTAGAGGAATTTTCCTGGTGCCACCCTTCCCTGAGGGAAATCCTGTACAGAGTTGACTTATCAAACAGAAACAATCTCTTCTAACGAAAGAAAAGGATAACTGTGTGACAGCCTAGCTATCAGAGCTGGGCAGGATGTGACTGGAGAAACCCATTTTTCCCCACCAGAACCTGGAGTTCTAAGGTGGAAGTTCTAGCCTGAGAGTAGGGTGGATACTGGGAAAGAGAAGTTAAGAAATTCAAAAGGTATTAAAGGGATCGTGCTCATCAGATAGTCTACCCATAAACCTCTGGGAGTGCCACACCTGGAAATGTCCCTACCAGGTCCATAAACACCTTCAAGGCACCAGTCCTCTTTTTTCTTTTTTATCTTTTAATCTTTATTGTTGAAAGTATTAAATAGGTCATTCTTTTACCCCCATTAACTTCTTCCAGCCTGCTCCCATTTGCCTCTCCTCCCCCAGGCTTTCGCCACCCCATTGTATGTGTCCAAGGAAGCAGGCCACAATTAGCAAGCAAAGGGTAAACTATAAACCTGAGCTGTAGCACCACTTTCTCCAGGGGAATGTTGGAGTCTCCCTTCAGCTAGGCTGGACTTCTGTAAACTTCCCAGTGTCATGTGGTACATAAAGTTCCTGATTTTTTTTATTACTTTTTTTTTTTTTTTTTTTTTACCTGACAGTTGCAAGACTGGTCTAGGAAGTTTCCCGGCTTCACTCTTTCCCCAGCTATTAACCTAAAAATAAAAGGCCAAAGTGAGAGGCAACAAGTGTTTGAAATTAAATAGAGTAACTATTGGGGAAGCACTGATTCAGGCAGAAACCAAATATGGTTTCAAGTAGGAGGTGGAGTCAAGGGACATTCATGAGAGAAGGAAGAGGAATAATTAATTACATGGATAGAAGGAAGGGATTTCTACAGATTCAGATAACCTAATTTAGCAATCCTAATACTAAAGAAATCCTATACTTTTCAGTCTGGTAGTCAAAATGTCTGCTTTCCTCTTAGCTCTGCAAATAGTTGTTTAGAATGCAATGCTGCTTTAATCCAGTCCAAAGGTTCTTTCACCCACTTTTAACATTTTGAAGGTTTGAAGAATGAAATGTAAATGGCGGTTCCTCTGAGATGGCTGCTCCAACTCCATTTTGAAGTGGCTTCATTTATATTATGTTTCACAGCTGATACTGAAGTTTATTGGTATCTTGCCAGCTGCTCTGGTAGGTGAAATTCCTCACAGGACTATTGGAGTAAAGTACTAGCCCCCTCAATACCCATAATGCTGTTTTAGTTCAAGTATGGTTGTCTAATCTATGGATTAAAAAGGGGGATATAAAGGAAAACATCTGTGCTGCGCTGTTGCTATCACTCCTTCTGTGGTAGGCAGTTAAGACCTGAGTAGAGGAGGATAATGGGCCAGAGACAAAAAGTCACCAGGAAGGAAAGCCCTGGGTACCTACCAAAGGAGGATTGATTGTAGGGTGGGACCTTGCCCCCAGGGTGACCCTTCTTCCCCTAGCATATCACTGGTCACATGGTTTAGGACCCCCTGACCTTTCCTCCCTAGAGATAACATCTAGGCCTCAGATGTATTTTAGTTCCAGGCCCAGAAAAGCAACAGAACAGACGTGGCTTACTTCAGGATAAACAACATTGAATACTGACACTTGCCCTGGTGCCTACCAATCAATCCCTCAAAGTATACACCTGGAAAGCTGCTGAATTAAGATTTTCCCCTGTCACCTCCCCTGAAATCTTCACTCTTAAAGCCCTCAGGACAAAGGATTGGGGAGCACAGCCAAGCTTTTCCCTTCCCTTCCTTCACCCTTCCCCCCCTCTCACCCCTGCTCCAGGTGCATTACCCTTACCTACTTCACTCCCAAGCTCCAAGGGCCCTTCCTTTATACTTATAACTTGTTTCCTAAGCCCATTCCTTCTACACATTACTATCTGTGATTTACCCAATAAAAGTTCTCTTATAGTTGGAATCTTGGCTCTGAATTCTTTTCTAGCCAGAACTCAAGAACCAAGGTCCAGTCTGACCCCACTGCAGACACCAGGTGCCATTTCCGCCACTTATAACACTTCTACATTCACTTCTTTATATTCTCCATAGTATCTTGCTTTGTCCAGTGTTATTAGCAAATTGATGAAAAAATTAGCAAAATATAATGATAACAGTCATTAAGTGCTTATAGCATTGCAAGTACTGGGTGTTTTAAATGAATTAAGTTATTTAATAATAATTTCAACATTTCATGGTTATTAATATTACCCATTTTACAAATGAGGAAATTGAGGCTCAAAGAGGATGCTTAAGTTTTCTCAGTGAGTGGTGAAGCTGGGCTATGAACAAGGGTGGCTAGCTCTAAAGCCCACCCCCTAAAACAGTATGTGGCTACTTTTCCAAATTACATTAGCACAATCAGAAAGCATGAGGAATTAACAGTCATTAGAACAAATTTATTATTTTGTAAGGCTATTTGTTTTCCTTTTGATATATTTGGGAGATATTTTACTAAATTATGACACCATACTTTTAAAAATTATTTGAACATTTTGTTTTGATATTGTGGCATTTGATAATGAAAATTAGGTGAATTAATTTTTTTGTTAACTAAATCTCCTATTAGAGAGTATAACTAATTTTAATAATGGAAGATGGTGTTGGATATTGTAATATGTATTATATAATTCTTAGACTACATAAAGGCAATTTACCAAAAGCTAATTATGAGCGATTCCAAGGAAGGCTATTGAGAACAAAAACACAAATCACTACCTAGCTAAATAGTGTTACACTCTCCAAACATTGTAGTAAAGCTTAATCTTTCCCTAACCCATCATTACCAACATTACTCAACTAATTATAGAGAATAGCAATCAACTTAGTTCCTCTGTAGAATTAAACGATGGGCTTATTTAATACTGAAGCAGGTGATAAGATCTTTGAGGACGTTTTCAGTAAAACATATTTCAGTCCTGCATAATTTAGAGTAACCATTCAGGAAAGAGGAGTGATCTGTGTTCCTATATATACTGCCATGCTCAAGATCAAAATATACTCATCTCCCAACGGACTTAGGAACATCTTATCCCTCCCTTCTGCTTATCTCAGGTAAAACGCTTGCTGCATTATTTAATGATAAGAGGTATTTTTGGAAAAAAAATCTTTTATAGCCTTTAATTTTATTATTAACTTTACCACTAGTAAATGGAAGTGTATTAATTATTAGGCTTTATTTAAAAGACTTTCCTAGCGTTGCCTTGGTCTAATGCACCAAATAAACCAAAGATGGCTCAATATTCTGTTTATAGTTGGCATACCACTTTGTAATGAGGTTGTAAATAAACTGGAGTACATTCAGGACATACCACTAGGTGCTCAGGTTACTCAAAAGCTTATGGTAAATAAATTGAATTAGGCAGGCTGTTCAATTTTGCAGACAGCAGCCCTAATGGGGCAGTGGTGGACAACTTTCATAATTGATGGTCATAGAGAAGATGTAGAACAAGATTTAATAGAAGCAAAAGGTACTTCAAAAATAAACTTTTAATATAAAAGAGGGAATTGTTATAAAAGTAACACTTGGCAATTGTTTAAGAATCATAATAATGATAGGAGAAAATTATGGGAACTAAAAGTAAAATTGTAACTACACATCCATCACTCTTTAGAGGTATTTTCTATTATTACTTTGGTGTACGTATAACCTTGCACATCTGTGACTTATCTTTTCAGTGATGCATTAAAGGTTATGACCCAGAGAAAAAATTAAAAGCACCCACACAAGATTTTAAACTAACTTCCTTGCCATTGGAGACACTCATCAGTGATATGGATAATTACAGATTGAAGTTTTACTCTTTTCCTTTGGTTAGGTCTTAAATTCTTGTCTTTCTAAAGGATTAAGAAATATTGCTAATATGTTCCTGGTTTCCAGTCTAGGAATGGGTAACACAAGAATAAAGCCTACATTTGCAGGTAAAGGATGACACTGATTTTTATTCCACATGACCAAGAAAATTTATTCTTATGGAAAGTTTCAACCTACAGAAAGCTAGACTAGCCCATTCCTTAAAATTATCATCATGGGTGTTTTTTTGTTGTTTGTTTTTGGGTTTTTTGTTTGTTTGTTTGTTTTCATAAAGTAAGCTATTTTACGTATTTCGTAAATCTCATTAATGCTTCATTTTTTTCTCAGAGACAATGATGCTGGTGGGCATTTGCTTCATGGTACTGCTGCAACAAGCGGCCAGCATGGTAAGAGTTTCACTTACAAGACAGATTTTAAACTCTTTTAAGAGGAGTATCTTACTCATAGTTCATGGCGAATGTGACATCAACAACATTGCAGTCTCCTGGGGTGGGGACAAAAACCTCGGTTCTCACTCATGTGTATTTTTACAGAAATTGTTAACTTTTTTTTTATTCATTAATACTACTGAGCAATAAGACAGTGGGCCAGCAATTAAGGAATTCATTTGTATCATGAGTAGCTTGTTCAGTAGAAGAGTTTAACAACTGCTTGGAGATTTAGTTTCTAGACCCTCAAAAATATATTTAATAATACAATGTCCTAAACAAATATGAAACTATCATTTTTGGCTTCCTAAGGTTAGCATAACATATTTTAATTTAATTCAATTCATCAGCCACTTATTTAGTGTCTACTATACGAGATGTGGTGCCAGATGCTGGGAATAGCGCAATAAATTAGATTAGCATAAGACTGCCCACATAACACCTCAGAGGAGTAAAGGATTAATGAGTCAACAGGTAACTTGAAAAGTATGACAAGTGCACAGTGAAGGTTAAAATGGGGTTCTGAAGAATGTTATTATTGAACATTTGCTATTTAAAAAAATTCTAAGCATTTTGTCTTTTTCATCTCATTTAGTCCTTGTGGTAATATAATTAGTAGGATTTAGACCAATAGTGAGAGAAGATAGAAGTGGAGAAGGGAAAGTATTTGAGGAGAAGTTTGCATCTAGTTGAAATGCAACAGATAAGAGAGCATGGGAATTTGGGCATAAGCCAGTTTGGAGTATGAAAAGGTAAGAGATGATATTTTTTGGTGTGGTTACAAGAGATGCAATAGGAGATGAAGCTGGAGTAGTAAGAGTAGGCCCAGGTCCCATTGACCTTAGAAGAAGTTTTAAGCAATCAGGGAGTGTCTGAATAGAGGGTGATAAAGAGATTTGCATTTCAGAAAGATCACTCCATCACATGGTAGGGGTCAAGACTGCAGGCAGAGAGACTACTTGAAAACTTGTTCAGTAATGTAGGTGATAAACTATGAGGGTGGCCTCTACTTAGTTCTGAGAATGAGGATCTAATTCCAAAACACAGTGTGGCTACTTTTCCAATCTATGTTAGAAGCCACGGGATTTAGACATGGGTTAGACATGGAATGTGAGGAGAAGGTGGCAACATCTGGTCTGTATTGCTGGGAGACTGGTGGTGCCATCCACTGGAATGATAAGCAGGCTCTGAGAGAAGCCAAGGATGAATTCATCCGGGGCAAGTAGGTTTCAGGTGAGGCGTGGATAGGATCTGAGTTGGAGATAAGAGGCTTAGGGATTATTGGCATTTGGCATACATGTGGCATCGAAATAATAAAAGTGGGGATGGAAAGAAACCACAAAAGTGCAAAAACTGTAAAGTGGAAAGGAAAAGAATTGTGAAGAATACCAAAATTGAAGGGTGAACCAAAGAAATGGAAGCTGAGAAGAAATAGGAGCATCACAAAGCCAAGGGGGAAATGATTCAAGAACGTTGTATGCAACATTTCCCAATGACACCTAGACAGGTAGGTAAAGGATGAGAAGTTTCCATTATATTTACCTCCGATGAGGTTGTGATGACCTTGGCAAATGCCAGTGCAGTGGGGTGGTGAGGACAGAGGACCGAATGTAGCAGGTTGAGAAGCAAGTGTAACGTGAGCAGGAGAAAGATACAAGCTTTGAGAGGAGAGAGCCATATCCCTCTCCTTATTAAGTGAGGAAATTCAATCAAGCTGCACAAAGTTTGGTTTATAAGGTTCCACTTCCTTTTATCCTCTGGGAGAGAAGTCTTGGCATGTGGACTATAAGATCAAGCAGGAAAAAGGAAGGTAGAACATACCCTTGAAGTTGAGTGATTCTTACAATTTGACTTTGTATTTATTTAAAGGGATAGTGTTTACTTTGGAGAACTGAATCTTTTTACAGACTAGAAAGTTATTTGAGGAAACAAAAAAGAATAATGCAACTTCCATATTTCTTAAAAGAAGATAAGTAAAAACAAGTTTCATCGAGTTATAAGCCAACAAAGCTCTCTTAGTATAGTCACCAACCACAGAGTGATTGGTATCAACACATGGGAAGAAGTGTAAAGTTTGGAAATGCTGTTTTCTAGTCTAAAGTTTAGAAGGGTAATTTCTTTAGCTTTAGCAATGCAATCCAGAGCCGTTTGTCAACTTAGAAAGACCCTAATGATTTATTTAGTGTCAGAGAATTTGGTTCAAGTCCTGGGTTTTTGGCTTACAAGATTTTATAAGTTTAGCTCGGAGAAGTTTAACATGTTTAATTTTCAGGGTCCTAATCTGTAAAATGGCATATGGTTTTAGTCAACGTAGCCGTTTATTCTGAGCAATGCCTGTTAAGGAGTGGTTTATCTGGTCTGGAATATCCCTGAACTTTGTTTTTTTTATTTCAATTTTCAGTGGGGATAATAAATCTTACCACAATGCATTGCTTTGAGAACTGAGTTCTATAATAGTACTTCCATGAAGTGTAAAAATTAAAATTATTTTACATATTAAAAGATGCAAAGAAAGAAAATGTGATCTTCTTAAGAGCATCACCAGGGTTGATTGTAATGAATCAGCTACTTAGTACTCACAGTGTGTTGACTTCCAGAAAAATCCATTGCATCCTCTAAGAATCTTGGTTATAGTAATCCTATCTAATAAAGAGGGATATGCTAATTGACCTTCACACCATTGCAAAGAGGAAATATACTAATTGACTGTCCCACCTCAAAGATGGCAGCGCCCACAGTCACAAGATGGCAGCACCCAGTCCCCTCATCCACTCTGGGGCAGCAGACATGCACCAAGGCCAGACCCACCCTGAGGTGGGCCCGGCTGCTCCACATACCTGATTCCAGATCTCCCCAGTTCCCTCAGTCCCCCAGCCACCAAGGGCCGGCCCAAGGCTCAGGTAACCAGGCTGGCCTAGGGTTGTGCCAGGTCACCTCCTATCCCTGAGGACTCCCAGATTGTGAGAGGGGGCAGGGGGCAAGCTGCGCTGAGGGACCCCCCCTCCAGTACATGAATTTTCATGCACCAGACCTCCAGTATATATCTCCTAACATATCACTTAGCTCAAATTCTGGTTTTGCAGAATTCCAGGTAATGTTGTTTTGTTCTATTGGAACTTTCTGATACTAATTAGGCTGCTAATATGGCTTTAAATTTTTTCATGTTACCAGATAAGTTCATGTATATGTGTGGGGTGCAGCTACAGTGTTTGGACAGATTCAAGCCTTGGACTGATGAGAGGGCACAGTCCTCTCGTGGCCATGCGCAAGTCCCAGCTTGGAGGGCAGAGCCATCCCAGCACAATTATAGCCAACAGTTCTAGGTGTAAGCTTGAACATATGGTCTGAACACATGAACCCACATGCCTAAGTGATACAGGCAGCAAGTAAACAAAGTTTAATCAGGTGCATGTAATTGATAGGTTTGAAACCCCTGAGAATGTTGTAAACACCTTGACCACGCCCTTACTTTGCCTTGTGGTATCTGCTACAAAATAAAGACTCCATTTGTGGGCGTAGACACTGCTAGGTCCCCATCAGGGAAGCAGCGTCCCACCGAGTCCTAGCTTTCCTTCTCTTCTCTGTCTTTTCTCAATCCTTTCATCTCCCTCACTTGGGTTTATCTTTGGCCGTGCTGGCACGGCACAAGGTGTGCCCAAATAGGGCCCGAGTTCAGGCGAACTACAATTGTTAGGTGAAAGGAGGCTCCAGTAAGGTGCATGCAGAAAGGAAAAGTAGAAAAATAAAAATAAAAGCTGAAAGCAAAAGTAAGGTGAGGAGCCAAGGTTTGTTTTGTTCTATTGGAACTTTCTGATACTAATAGCTCAATATAAAACAATGCTATTATAGCATTTTTAAATTTCTTAAGGAAAAAATAAGAAAATAGAAAATAAGATACAGATAAAGTGGAAAACTGGAAGTAGAAGATAGTACAGGTAAAATGTTGGTAATTTGCGCATAGGCACTGGATCTCATGGAGTTTTTCGGGTTCAGTTAATATGTGGAATTTATGAGGGTTGCAACCCAGGGATGTTTGGGCAGGGGCAGCCAAATCTACCTATAGTTTACAGGTAGAAAGTAAGTGGTAGAAAGTAAGGGTGTGGTCAAGATGTTTACAACATTCTCGTGGGTTTCGATCCTACCCAATTACATGCACCTGATCAAACTTTGTTTACTTGCAACCTATATATATATATATATATATATATATATATATATCACTTAGGCATGTAGGACCAAGTGTTCGGACCATAGGTTCAAGCTTACAACTACAGCTGTTGGCTATAATTGTGCTGGGAGGGCTCTGCCCGCCCAGCTGGGACTTGCATATGGCAATGAGAGGACTGTGCCCTCTCATCAGTCCAAGGCTTAAACCTGTCTAAACACTGTAGCCGTGTTCCACAAAGCAGGTCTTATGGATCAAATTAATCTATTGTTACAGCCAAAAAAATGTTGATATTCAAAAGGACACTTTCAAGTTCCCACAAAAATTCTATGACTCTTAGACTACCAAAGCATGGTCCCTGAGAACTTGTTGGCCCCACCTAATTATTTTCCTGAATAAAAAACTCTGAAGAGTGGCCATAGCTGGTTTGGCTCAATGCATAGAGTGTTGGCCTGTGGCCTGAAGGGTCCCACGTTTGATTCCAATCAAGGGCACATGCCTGGGTTGTGGGCTTAATCCCCAGTGGGTGCTTGCAGGAGTATGCTGACCGATTATTTCCTCTCATTATTAAAATTCCTATCTCTTTCTCTATCTCCCTTCCTCTCTAATATCAATAAAAATATATTTTTTAAAAACAACAACAACTCTGCAGGGTGGAGCTCAATCATCAGCCCTCTGGGTGAGTTTGATGGTAAAGTTGAAGAATACAAAACTCAACATTTTTTTAACTTCCATGTTGAAATAAATCAGTTGTTTTCTTATCTTGATTTTCAATATTGTAACATTGTTCTTACTTTTTGCTTCATTTTAAAGTCAAATACCTCAGTTTTATCTTTATTGACTCAACTTCCATCAATCCAAATGGAGATTATTAATAAGCACAATGACCTTAGAAGGATGGCAAGTCCCAGTGCCAGCAACATGCTTAAAATGGTAAGTGCTGTCTGGTTGATAGATTGTTATCAATTAGCATCTAACCACTTAACAATGAATATTAAACTAACATATATGTAAAATACTCTGACCTCTTTATTTCCCTAGAAAAGTTACCGTAATGGTTGGTAGTTAACACTGCATTTGAATTGGAAAACATATTGACTCTTTCAATATAGGATGAAAGTATAATTAATGGGCAGTGAAAGAAACCTTGTAAATTATATTACTTGAGTAATTAGATGCTAAACAACAAATGAAAACTAAACTATGTAATAAAATATGCTGTATAGGTCTAAAATTATATTCTTTCTGTTATTGGTGGGTTACCCGCTGTGTCCCACCCGTTACCGGTGGAAAGGGAATTCTTGTGATGTGATGAGAAAAGGAATTTTCTGAGACCCCTACAGGAAAATGAGTGATATTTACTTGTATGGAATTAAGCCCCTGGGTTTCCAAGGTCCCATTTCCCTTCATCTCACCATGGAAAAAGTCCAGCCTTGTCTTTTTTATTTTATGGATTTTATACAGAGAGGAATTGAGAGGGATAAAGAGTTAAAAACATAGATGAGAAACATCGACCAGCTGCCTCTTGCACACCCCCCACTGGGGATGTGCCCGCAACCAAGGTCCGTGCCCTTGACCGGAATCGAACCCGGGACCTTTCCGTCCACAGGCTGACGCTCTATCCACTGAGCCAAACCGGATTCGGCTCCAGCCTTGTCTTTATCAGAGCTAGATTTTAAGCCACTGCCTAGAGTTTCTGCCCCTTACTAAAGCACAGTTCAATGCAGTCCAGCATCTGGCTAATCAGCTTGTGTTCCCAGCTGTGGTCCATTGCCTGTGGGGTTCGTATGGCCATGGGCCAGGCAGCTGCTAAATCTATTTGGCTTTGGGGGTGCACAGGTGAGTGATGATCAAGGAGCAAGAGAAAACAAGGGAGCAAGAGCACAAGGACAAACAAGCAAGAGGAAAAAGTAAAAGAGAATTATTTGTTTGGGGATTATAATCAGGATGTTAACCAATCAACCCTTCAGGATTTCACATGTTTGCAGTGTCTCTACCTTTTTAGCTAATTATCTTTTCCCCAAGTATCTTCCCTACATCACTCCAACTTCACTGCTTCTTTCCCCCAGTGATTTGCAGGGAATGGATGCTGGCTCCCTGGGGAGTGTATAGTTGAAGCTTCCTGGTTAAGCTTCCCAGTTGACCTTGCCCATGATGTCTGACCTTCCCTTTGCTTTCTTCCTACTATTAATATTAATAAGCTAGTTAAGAGGGTAACACTGCTCTCCAGCTGTGGTCAGGTCATATGTTATAGAATGTGTATGGGTTTCAGCAATACACTAGTTAAGGGAAGTAGTTACAGAAGGTGTTGATTAGCATGGTGGGGAGCCTGGGCACTGAAAGGTGAGGTCATCTGAGATATTTAGATTAAATACTATCCCAGGAGAATAAGATCACTGACTCTAGGCTAATTACTTAATCTGACGGAGCCTCAGTTTTCTTGGCTACAAGTAGAAATGGTCATTAAACTTTGCTAACCTTTCTGAGCATCAGTATAGAAATGCTCTTGTAAATAAAATGTCATTAATATATGAGATGTTCAGTAAAAAAGTTGTTACTGCTTCTCTTCCCCATTCAAGTATTTAAAGTGCTATCATATGGTGAATTAAATTTGTTCTGAATTTCCTCAAAGAACTGAGCTAGAATTAACAAATAATAGGTATTTGGACATTCTACTGTATATACCTCAAGAGACTAAAAAAAAAGTCTATTTGGCAATTAGCTGTCTTATGAGGTACTGAACATATACTTCCATTACAGACAAAATGTATATTTTTTGGAAGAGAGTCCTATAATAAATGAGAAATAGAATCCATTATCTTTCTGGTTCATGCCATTTCTGAACTCTATGAAAGTTGTTGCTAAATCTAGGCTATGGGGAGGAATGTTTCTAATAACCCATATGTTTAGCTTTATTTCTGAGGAAGTGTGCTGTGTCCAATGTACAGGACAAATACCTCCTGACCATATTAGCTAACTGGCATTGCCTTCTCAAAGATACAGACTGTCTGCTTCTATTCTGAACACCTCTTCATCTTAGATTGGAACTTTCCCCCCCACCTCTCTAGAAAGTAATGTATAGCAATTTTGGTTTAATTTATCTAAAGTATGACAATACTCAATTCCTATTTGGATTTATTTTCCTATATCTTTCCTTTTTTACATATGAGATAAGGGCAGACATTTATTTTTCCATATGTTTTGTCCTTTACACTGTTATATTTTATTTAGTACAGCACAAACTTATTAATGCTTGCTATAGCATCTGGCAATATATTAATGTATATGAAGACTGGGACAAAGGCCACAGACATTTTGAAGAAAACAGCACATACTTAGTTCCCATTTCTAATTAAATATCCAAAGCCCCACACTGTGCTTGTCTACCTAATTGGGTTTAAAATATTTTCCCTAAAATATTAATCTGTGATCCCATATAGTAAGATGCTTCCTTGTAATTAAGTGATTAAGCAAGAGATGTATCTTTAGGTAGAACAATAAGAAATACTAGAAAACAATCCATCATATAGGCATTTGTTTTCAGTGTGATCGTATACATCATGATAGTCTCATGAAAACATCAGATTTTTATTTTCAAATGTTTGTCTTTTATATCAAGACATGGAATGACGTAGTTGCGAGGAATGCTGCAAAGTGGGCAAACAGGTGTGCCTTGGCTCACAGTCCTCCATCGGAACGACGGATCAACGACTGTAAGTCACTCTTCCCCAATCAATAAAAAACAAAAATTAAGTTAAAATCCACCGAAGTGGTGAGCTATGGCAACTTGGGAATGGTGATGTAGATTTTGTCTGTTGGTTTTAATGTCATGACCTATTCTCTCACACACAAACCTTGCTTCCTTTTGCTTCCTTTCTTGTATTCCTTTGTTTTCTTCTTTTTTTTTAGCTCTTGCCCTAAAATCTCATTACGCCTGCTATTCCAAGAGGAAAAAGAAGAAGAAAGAAAAATGACTAAGTTAGAGATTCAAGGCAAAAGCTATGGGGGAAGGAGAAAGAGACAACAAAAAACATTGTTTTAAATGTGTGTGTGTGTGTGTGTGTGTGTGTTTAACTTGAGTTTATTTAGATACTCATCATTCTTATTTAATCACATGCCAATTTATTTTTGAAACCCTCTCACTTACTACATCATAGCCAAAGTTACCAGGCCACAAATTCCTGGTGAAAAGAATTATTTCTCTTAATATAACTTTTCAGGGCATAAGTATAAATGACGTTAATGAAGAATTAACTCTCTTCCTTACTTCTGAGGTCTGTTTGCTTCACTCTGCAAGCCCACCATACCCAAACCTGTCTTATACCTTTTTGCTAAAATCTGATGGGCCTCCTCATCACCACTCTTGCTTTCATGGCTTTGATTTCATTTTCCCACGGATATACCATCTTATGTCTGCTGTCTGCTTCTCAAGTGCTCCTCTTCATTCTCTAGCTAAAGAGCAGAAGGTCAAAATCATGTCCCCTATATGCATATACTGAAGGCATAACAGATAATAATATATACTCATTGTTTGTTAATTCATTTACTAGTCTTGCCAAATGGTATCTGTGACTGTATTAACCCACACAATCAGCTTGAAAATAAATCATTATTTATACATTTTTAAAAAGCTATTCATATGTGTGTGTGGTGAGGGGGAAACATGGGAGGGAGTGATTCCAATCCATAGAACTGAGCTTTGGAAATTGAAATTAGATTTCTCCAATCAGTCAGTGAAAGGTTTGGAAGGTGATATTGATCACAAAACTAAATAGTTTTCAATGAGAATTATTTGAAACTACCTGTTTAACTATTGTTTCATTGTCTTTTCTAAATTTTAGTCACTGACTGTGGAGAGAATTTATTCATGTCCAGTAATCCCAAATCATGGTCAGATGTAATCCAATCTCTTTACGATGAAGCTAAAGATTTCAAATATGGACTTGGAGGTACCCTCAAAAAAACTGGCCATTACACCCAGGTAAAAATAAAATGACAAAAGTTTAATGTTTTTTGTCCACTGCCCTTCCAGAATTATTTTTCTGCACAGTTAATTCAGGAGATGCTAAGCATACATCTTAGCTATGCAACCTATATGTGAGTGTAAAAGTTGCCCTACTTTATAAAATATGTGCTACTCATTAACATACATAAACATCAACCCATTATCTCTTGAGGATACCCACCAACTTCATCTGCTTATTGTGATCATTGGACTTTTTAAATGATAGCTCTGAGAATAAAGTGATGAATGACCTTAATTATATTGAAGCAACACTTTGAACAAGTCTCAAGCTATTTTCTCTAGAGTATCACATGATGAAACACTGAAAAGAAAAATAATAAAAATATTAACTCATATGTGCAAGTTATTTTTAGTCTTTAAATAAGTATTTTTGTATTATATATATCGTGCCACTAAGATTATCTGCAGGCGCGCGCACACACATACATACACACACACACACACACACGCACACACATGCACACACCAAGATCAATAAAGTTTCTCTTTTTTTTTCCTGCAAAAATCAAATTGTTCTTAGTGACTATCCCCTTATTGCCCATCATCCCATTGTCCATATATTTATGAATTAGAGTGTGACTTGCTATTATAACAAAGGTATCATGAATATACAAAGCTTGTTTGATATTAAATGAAGCCCCATAGCTGCAAGAGATATTTTTAAAGAATAATCATCAAGTTTATAAATTTTAAAAATCTGAAGCCAAATTTTTCAGTTTTTAAAATTTCCTTCATTGATAGCATCTAATAAGCAATTAAGAAACAACCCATACAATGTGAGTAGCATGGATTTAATTAAAATGACTATTTTAAACTTTTCTCTTACAGCTCGTTTGGGCCACTTCTCACCAAGTTGGCTGTGCATTAGCCCACTGTCCTCACAGCAGCAGCAACCTTCAGTATTTCTATGTTTGCCATTATTGGCCTGCGTAAGTACAACCCAAACGGCCACTTTTGGCATTCAGTAGGCCAAATGGCCTGCACCTTGAGCTATAATCCAAACCCCTTTCATCAATCTGAGGTTGTAAGGTAGCTTCATGGAGAGCTTTGTGAGTAGTTTTGAAGAAAGGAGAAAATTGGAAAAGACTGGAAAAGCCAAGCAGCGCATTCTTACGGATGAAAGAACCATGGGGATAATGGTGGAAAAGTGCAGAAAGTATGGGCTCTGTGGTCCACAAGGTTCAAAACAAATATTGGCTCTATCACTTACTAGTTGTGTGACCTTTAGTTCATCAATAACCTAAGCACTTGGAACTCTTTCTTCCTTATCTATAAAGAGACAACAGCAATACATTTCTTACAGTGTTTTCCTGAGGATTAGATATAACAAGCTATTTTAAGTGCTTAACATAGCTCAGGCCACCTATTAGAATCTCAATGAAATAAAAATTCATCTAGTAAAAAAGTAAGAAATCCTCTAGATGGCAGATCCAAAAATACTTAGGAACCTTGCTACAAACCTGGTCTACTGTGAAGATGGTGGAACCCCATCTCCTTTTTTTCTGCAGATATTTAAATCCTACCAATTTACCTTGAAATTGTCTTTGTGGACCCAACCTTCATTCATAAATCTCTGCCTTTGCTGACATGCGACTATTGCTATGTATTCTACTCCCATGGCACAATCCTATATTTCTTCATGTTGTCACTGATTCTGTCCTTCAACTATTCTATCGCCAGTGGGAATGTGTTCAATACTATCAGAACCCCATACAAAAGAGGAAGACCATGTGGAGACTGCCCTCATCATTGTGATAATGGGCTTTGCAGTAAGTACCATTCATTCTGCATCTTTATGTGGTGATGTCTACATGGGCATGGTCTTGCTGAGTATAACAGTCTCAGAATCTGCCTTGGGATATGAATGACCTCATTCTGTTACTATGTACGTTGTTGGAACATGGTAGTGAAAGTTTATTTGATTTCATGAAGTTCTGGATGTGTGAACTCTCTATCTGCTACATCAAGTATATTAAGCAGTTTAACATTATTAACTCCGTGTGTGTGGTGATTTTGAGTAACAGAATATATAAAGAACAATGGGATTTTCCCTAAGATAACATAGTTTTTGATAACTAATACTTGAATCCAAGAAGTAGCATTTAATTTATTTTTTTATTTCATTTTAGCCAATTCCTGCATGAAGGTGGATAAGATATCGAATTGTGACTATATGGTCAGAAAAGTAGGGTGTGATGCACAAGACATGAAAGAAAAATGCCAGGCCACCTGTGGATGCCCTTTTGCAATAAAATAAAACACATTCTAAGGCTGATTCTTTATCTCAAGAACAGTGACTCCACATAAAAACAACTGTAAAAATGTTATTGTCTTTTTCTAAATGATCAAACAAATTTTAAAAAAGTCTTCTATTGACTATTCCTCTTTTGTCCATTCAATTTGATGATATCTGAATAAAGAAAACCAGGTAACAAAAACTGTGAACTATAAATTAAAAATGCAATGCTGAATCTATTAAATTCTTTAGTCATAATTGGTAACATGTGCTAAAAGCTTTTGTGCAAATTATGAATAAATGTACTCAAAGCTTTTAAAACAAACTCTTTCCTTCCCTAAGGCATTAAGCAATCCATTAATGGGCATATTCACTTGTATCCTTGAAGAACTCTGTTTTGGTGGTGGACAAAGATGACAGGGGAAGATGCCGATCCCAATGATAATTTAAAATACATACATATCTAAGTCTGTTGGCAGCAACATGAAAGAATCTGCTGAAGTGATAATTCACAAACACTTACCCAGTCACTGACCTAAATTAATGCATGTATTTGGCTCCCCCAGTTTAGGGGGAGGCCATGGCCATGTCCCTAGAGAAAGGACCCAACAATGCCATCATAACACATTCCATGAACCTTTTGTTAAGCCTTCACTCAAAGGAACCTGGGCTATCTATCAAGGTAACTGACAGGGTGGAAAAAGTTTTTTGTGGTTTATTAGATCTGGACTTAAAACTAATGCTGATCTCCAAAGACTTCAAATACCACCATAGATCAGAATAAATCTTAGAAAGGTCAAGACAATGAAGTCCTGGCCCAAGTGCATCTCAGAGTAGCAGCAGTAGGACTGCAGACTGACCCCATGGGTAATTCTCCAGTACCAAAAGATGGAATGAAAAACAATACACTTATCCTGGCCAGTGTGGTTGAGCATCGACCATGAACCAAGAGGCCATGCTTTCAATTTCCAGTCAGGGCACAGGCCCGGCTTGTGGGCTCGATCCTCAGTGGGGTGCATGCACGAGGCAGCCAATTGGTGTTTTACTCTTATCAAGGTTTCTCTATCCCTCTTCTTTCCTCTCCCTCTAAAAAAATTCAATAAAAACATATTTAAAAAAATCAATACACTTATAAAGTATCAAATTCACTACATTGTTTTTCTGACCCAAAGATTAAGGGCTATCATGGTAGCAAGGGCCAAGTGAAAGTCCATGAAACTAGCAAGATAAGCCAAAAAGAAATGTAAGTGACTGGGGTACCACAGACATTTATGTTACAAGCAATACAAAATTCAGTGGTGGTAATTGTGTCCTCATCCCTATTTAACTGTCTATTTAGCTAGTGTAAAGGCTAAATAGCTTATGGATAATAACTGTAGACCAGCGAGCAATCCTCAACCTTTTTCATCTCATGGCACACATAAACCAATTACTAAAATTCTGCAGAACACCAAAAAATATTTTTTCCCCAATTCTACAAAGAATAGGTATGCTTTTGATTCATTCACATTGGATGGCTACTATTACATTGATTATCATCATTTTTTTTTTATTTGACCATCTAAGGAGAAAGTGGTTAGTGACTCTGACTAAATAGGTATTGCATATTTTAAAAATTCTTGCAACATACTGGTTGAAAATCACTATTGCAGTGGACTATTGCAAACTTAACCACACAGTGGTACCACTCACAATGGTGATTCTATATGTCAAGTCTTTATTACAGAAAATCAACAGATTCCCTGGCACCAGAAATACAGCTATCATCATCTTATAGTTGCTCTTATTCTATTACAATCAGCAAAGATAATCATACACAGTCTCCCTCTATATAACAAAGCAAATAATACATATTATACCTTAGTACATAGTTTACCTAGGCTATTCATACACTCTACCAATAGTGCTTCTATTAGATTCACAAGCCATCTTATTTAGTGCCACAGTACTGCTGTTTTAAAAGCTCTGGCAAAAAAGATAAGGTTCTGTGTATATTTCTGAGACCAATATAATGAGCACCCATGTGTTTACCTGCCAGCTCATGAAACAAAACATTGTGAAGTTGAAATTCACTGTAACCACCAGACCCCTTACTCTTCCTGACTGTATTTTGAATTTGTTGCTTCTCACACCCATGACTTAGTCACTACATAGTCTTCCCATATGTGTATCCTATATGTGTATTAAGTATTGTTTTTCATATTTTTAAATTTTATGTAAATGCTGCCAATACTGTACATACCATCTACAGCTTGGCTTTTTATCTCAATACTAGAGGCCTGGTGCCGACTGGGGCCTTCCTTCGTTCCACACCACTCCCAGGTGGTCAGTATATGTCATAGCAAGCGATCAAACTTCCAGTCTCCCAATCAAACTCCTGAGGGGAAATTTACATATTAGCCTTTTGTATATAAATAGATTGCTTGGGAGATTTATTTATTTTTATTCTATCTAGTTGTTCACACTCATTTTTACTTTTGTATAAACATGTAATTGTGTTCTCCAACACTAGATATTCATCCTCTTTTTCATGTACACTTAAATTATCTCCAGTTTTTTACCTTGGCATATAAGTTTACACTGAACATTTTTACACATGTTCTTGTAAGCATGCTCCAGCATTCTCTGGGACTAAAATTGACAGGACAAAGTAATTTGCATCTTCCTCTTTACTGTAACTTGCCTAATTATTCTCCGAAGTAGCAGGACCAGTTTACACTCCCAACAGCCAAAAATAGGATTTCCAGTTTCTCCATGTCCATAAAACACGTGGTTTATTGAACTTTTTGAATTGGCAAATATGATGCCCTATTATGGTTTAAATTTTTATTTCTTTAACTATTAGTAAAATTGCAAATATTTTTATGTTGGACTCTTGGCAATTCCTCTGCAGTGCACTGCCTGCTCTCAAAGGGTTAGTATTTTTTTTTTTTTAGCCCACAGAGTTGAGATTAAGAAATAGTTATATAAGAAGATTTAACCTGAGCTTCTCTTTTAGTTGATGAGAAGCTGGGTTTGAATTGAGTCAGAAGGAAAAAACCTTGTAGGCTAATGATATTTCTTCAGGCAGAAGTTGTTGTAAATAGACAGACTGTTCTATGCAGAATAATCCAATGTCGATTTGATGAGGAGTTTCCATAGAAACTCATACAAAAATTGCCATGTTGTTACTTCTGAACAGAACCTGTTTATATGGTTTTCCTACATGCAAAATTGTTTCATTAGATTAAAAAAAACCTCTTTTTAAAATATTGATACTACTAAATAGCCATTTTACCTTAAAATTGATGTTTCCCCCAAAGGGGAATATAAACAAGCAGCCTCATGATTCCAACTCATAAAAATGCCCTAAATCCAGTGACAAGTCCAAAAACTCATTGCAGTTGTGTCTGGGTATTCTAGTGTGAATGTATTTTTTCTAGGCATAATCCTTGAATTTGTTAAAGAGGAACAATATCACAGGCTTACCATTCCTGTCAGACAAAGACAGTTCCCAATAAACAATTTTTTAAAATATATTTTATTGATTTTTACAGAGAGGAAGAGAGAGAGAGAGAGAGTTAGAAACATCGATGAGAGAGAATCATTGAACAGCTGCCTCTTGCACACACCCTACTGGGAATGTGGCCACAACCAAGGTATATGCCCTTGACCAGAATCAAACCCGGGACCTTTCAGTCTGCAGGCCGACTCTCTATCCTCTGAGCCAAACCTGTTTCAGCCCAATAAACATTTTGGGTGAATAGTGAGATTAAAGAAGTATACAGAGGGGATATTGCATCATAAAGTGCCTTAGTTGCAAACTACAGAAACCAAATTTTCTTCTTAAAGAGAAAATGGGATTTGTTGGACCGGTACCAGGCCGCTCGGAGGATCAACCCAAACTTCAGGAAACAAGTCTGACCAAGGCAGGCTGAGGTCACAGGTAGAGGGCACCACAGAAACCTTCCAGTTAGACCTTCTGTTTACAAGCAGCCCCCAGGGTGTCAACTCCTGTGTATTGTTCATAACTGATCTCTAAATTTCAGATGTGAGGATACAATTGACCAATCCCAGGTCACAGGCTTGAACTGCCAAAGCGAGGTGGGGGAGGGCCGCAAATATCCACCCAACTTGAGTTTCCACAATGGAAAGCAATATTTTTATTTAAAACTCTCTCAAAATGGCAAGTGTTTGAATGTGGGGAGGCAAAAATGACGGTAAGAATAATAGTTACATTTACCGTGTCCTTACAATGTCCCAGGCTTTGTCTTTCATATGCACTTTGATTAGGATCCTCATTATGACCTCTGAAGTAAACAGTACCCACATTTTTTAAAGAGAAAAACCAACCACAGAGATTGACTTACTCAAGTTTATCAGCAAGCATTGCACCTGGGATCAGAAGCCATGCAGTTTAGATTCAAGTCTGAGGTACTAAACACTGAACTGCATGATATATCCCCAGTTGCTTCCAAACACCTCCTTTCCCTGCTTATCCTAATGCTTGAGGCTTCCGAGTGCAGTTTGTGTTGTAATCCTCTAAGAAGAATCATTAGTGATCCTCTGTTAAAAGCTTCAAAACCTATGGTTCATCTACAGTATAAAACATTTTGCCATCTTTAAAAATCAAGAGGTAAAACTGATATTCTAAGACACATGGTTAAACTATAATTGAAAAATAAAAAATAAGAAAGTCAAAAAAATTAAGATATATAGTTAAGTTTTAAATGAAAGGGTATTATAATATGATGTTACTGACATTAAAATATAAGACATATGTAGCTATCAAAACATATTTATATTTATATATAAATATATAGAGAAAGCCCAGAAAGATGAACACCAAACTATTGGTATGGGAGTGGCATTGAACAGTTACAACGTTTCAAGTGGTATGAATGATTTAAAAAAGACAAATTTGCTTATAGCCTTCATCACTTGAAAACTGAAACTAAACCTAAATATACATATGTGTGTATGTATACATATACAGTTATTATATTCCTATGAAGGGGAGGATTTTTTCTAGGATGTGAATAATCCCCAAACAACTTGGCAGAAGAGAGCCAAAACCAATTCCTCAAATACAGAGAACAAGCAGTTTTAGAGTCAGACAGACTTGCATTTTACTTCAGGTCCT